ACTGATGTAATATTTAACAAATATTGATGATATTAGCTAAAGCAGTCACTACAACAAAAATATAACAGAGGTATTTTAACAACTGACATGAAAACAAAGCTTTACATTCAGTGTAATATATTTAATTTTGACTATTAACACAAAAAAATATTTTTCTTTTCCAGTTTACTGTACTTGTTTTATTTCCAGGTCAGATGCTAAGGAAAAACAATATGCTGAAGAAAAAATGGGATGTTACATAATCCACAGTATCTGATCTTTTATCGTTATTCTAATTTTTTAATTACAGGTGAAATTGACTGCAAGTAACAAAATACAGATGTTAAAGCACTTTTAACGATTTAGTCCAATTTAAAATAAGTTAGGCAACAATATGACCACAGTTAGTCAGATGTAACCATAGTTAAGCAATTGGTTGGTATTATACAGCATATAACACTAAATGAAAGCTTTGTTTTCAAATCTTGACAACATTTGTTCATGAGGCAAATATCATCAACCTTTAACCTGCCAGATCTACAACTGGTTAGCCTTTGCTACCAGTATAGAGCCAGGCCAGCCTGTACATCTGTTTGGTTTGCACATCAGTGTAGTCTGACCAGGCTCTATATTGTTGGTAGCTTGAATTTTGTCTAAATTCATATATGTGAACTTTTTTCGATGGTCAAATGGGAGATCTTTCCTCAAAAAGAGGGAGATTTTAGAACTTGCAATAAACAAAGAAGGAAGTTCTGAAATAAAAAATTGGGAGAAATCTTAAAATTTAAAAATACCCCTTATTCTAAGAAAGATCTTTGAAAATAAGGGTGCAGAAAGAGGGAGTCTCCCGCTTAAAATGGGGGAGTTCACATGTACGAAAATTGGGTTTCCATATTGAAATCCCTTAAAACTTTGAATGGACTGTTCCATATTTACAGCTGGGCTAATCCATTCCATAAATCCAGCAGGTGAAGGGTTAACAATTTATAATATATATATACATTACACTAACCTATAATAATAAAGATACTTCTTGTCCTGCGTGTTCTTAACTTTATCTATATAATACATTAACATGCGCTAAGTAAACCTCCATAGACAATGATATAAAAAATATCTATAATGATCTCCTTATATAAGATATGCACAAAAGTGAAATGTGTTGATGTAACATATTCCTGTAAGAAAGGGCCACATTCTTTGCTTTATGTAAAATGCAATGTAAAGCCAATCTCTATTAAATGTAGAATCACAAAATATGGTCGGGTTTATTTTATCATCTTTTTCACTACACATATATAGTTTATTTCAGAAAGGAAAACAGTTATAAATACATTACAGCACTTAGCTAACAAACCCTGTGTTAATGCTCAAATTGTTTGAATATCATTCATGTCTTACATATAAATATATAGAACTTGCGAGATGTAGTCGAAACACCAACTTCACTAACTCAGTCACACACTTGACGTTTCATGGCATGTGTATTGCCACCTTAGTGCAGTAATGGCTTAACTCAGTATATGATTTAAAAGGAGTTAACCTGTTAGTGCATTAAGGTGACAGTATTTTCCGGAAGAATTTTATGCCTACGACAAAAAGCTGTTTTGGATGAAATAATAAAAAATATCATGCCCATAAAGTTAAATTGAATAAAACACTGTAAAAAAACTAAACACTATTTGAGCTGCGTCACCACAAAACCAACATAATGGGTTTGCGACCAGCATGGATCCAGACCAGCCTGCACAACCGCGCAGTCTGATCAGGATCCATGCTGTTTGCTATCAGTTTCTCTACTTGTTATAGAGTTTGTAAGCGAACAGCATGGATCCTGATCAGACTGCGCGGATGCCCAGGCTGGTCTGGATCCATGCTGGTCGCAAACCCATTATGTTGGTTTTGTCGTGACGCGGCTCATATTAAAACAAATGCCCACTGTATGAAGAAACCACAGCCCAAGTGAATAACAGTTATCTAACATCAAAATGAAAGTAAGAAAGTATGCTATGTTATAATGTATAATTCTGTAAGTTTTCTTTCAACAACAGTCTGAAAACCGTTATAAATAAATGGTAAAAAGTATATGTGTGAAAAAATTATCTCTCAAAGCCACAACAACACATGAACATATGGAAATATCTACTTTGGTCTTTTCACAATTCTAACTAAATTCAAAATGAATATGGATGAATATGAAAATTTCTATAGCTAATTTCCCCAATTTCCCTTGATTCAAATTTTTGTAGCTGATTTCAAAATTTCTGTTGCTAAAGAAAATTAGATAAATATTTAGTTATCTGCTATGGACCTTAAAAGAACATAGTTCAGATTCTAAAATGGAACAGTTCACCATCTGTACATTGACACATCAACAATCCAAATGTTTCCAGCTTTTACCCTAATTTGCTGTTATAGAGTACATTGCTAGTATAAAGTTTGCAATCTTAGGCACACACAAAAAATAATTAAGAAATCTAAATTCAGCAAAATTAATAAAATCTTTCGCAAAAAAAATCCAAAAAAAATCTGTAACAGTAAATACCCCAGTTAGCTATAGTCTAGTAAATTAATGTTATAATATCATCTAAATGATACAATATCTAAAGCAAGAGTTCAAAAATTGGAACATTGTTAAAGATTGTCTGACAGAGTTTGAAATGTATGTATTTATACAAATATTTGGCAGGGCATACATATAGTTGTATACTGATCACTGTACATAAAAATTAACAAATTGTGCCCTAAAAGATTATAAGTTAAATAACGTAAGTTGAATAACATAGACAGAAAAGCATGTCATCTAAAAATTAAACAAGAGGGCCATGATGGCCCTGAGGTCGCTCACCTGTATATAGGCCCCCCCACCCCCCCCCCCCCAACGTTGCAGAGCCAATTTAACCCAAGGGCTTTTATTTGCACAAACTTGGTAGACACCCATAAGAAGATGTTTCATGCTAAACATTTAAGCTCTAGCTCATTGGGCTTTTTAAAAGAAGATTTTTTTAAAGTTTTTACTATACACATATAGTTAAAAACAATGACACCCCTGGGGCCGGGCAAGTTTTGACCCCAGGGCTTTTATTTTATTTCAACTCTAGCTATTTGGGTTTTTTCAAAGAAGATTTAAAGTTTTTGCTAAACACATATAAAGAAAATCAATGACCCCGGGGCGAGGCCAATTTTGACCCCTGGGCTTGTATTTGAACAAACTTGGTAGACACCTATTAGAACATGTTTGATGCTCAATATCTTGGCCATAGCTCTTTGAGTTTTTTAAAAGAAGATTTTTTAAGTTTTTACTATATGCATATAGGGAAAATCAATGACCCCCCGGGGCGGGGCCAATTTTCACCCCAGGGCTTTTATTTGAACAAACTTGGTAGACACCCATTAGAACATGTTTCATGCTAAATGTCTTAGCTCTAGCTCTTTGGGTTCTTTAAAAGAAGATTTTTTAAGTTTTTACTATATGTATATAGGGAAAATCAATGACCCCCCGGGACGGGGCCAATTTTGACCCCAGGGCTTTTATTTGAACAAACTTGGTAGACACTCACTAGAAGATGTTTCATGCCAAATATCTAAGCTCTAGCTCTTTGAGTTCTTTAAAAGAAGATTTTTTAAGTTTTTACTATATGCATATAGGGAAAATCAATGACCCCCGGGGCGGGGCCAATTTTCACCCCAGGGCTTTTATTTGAACAAACTTGGTAGACACCCATTAGAACATGCTTCATGCTAAATATCTTAGCTCTAGCTCTTTGGGTTCTTTAAAAGAAGATTTTTTAAGTTTTTACTATATGCATATATGGAAAATCAATGACCCCCCGGGGCGGGGCCAATTTTGACCCCAGGGCTTTTATTTGAACAAACTTGGTAGACACTCACTAGAAGATGTTTCATGCCAAATATCTAAGCTCTAGCTCTTATGGTTTTTTAAAAGAAGATATTTAAAGTTTTTTCTTTCGGTTGCCATGGCAACCAGAGTTTTGCATGGAATTAAATTCTTTGAACAATTTTTAAAGGTGACCACCAAAGGAACATTCCTGTGAAGTTTGGATGAAATTGGCTCAGTGGTTTATGAGGAGATGTCATTTAAAGTAAAAGTTTACGGACGGACGGACGGACGACGGACGGACGACGGACGGACGGACGCCGGACGAAAAGCGATCACAAAAGCTCACCCTGTCACTTTGTGACAGGTGAGCTAAAAAACGTTGCCAATTAAAAAAGTGCCTACCTAATCATTACCAAGCTAAATTTGTAAAATGGATTTCAACTTCCTAAGATCAGTAAATGTGCTAATAAAACTGTGTTAATACAAGAGATTGAATATCAAAATGCTAAGCAATATATGTTAAATTCTGGTCAGACAGTATGAATATAACTCTAAACTGGCAAATTTAAGTACTGGTAGGTCATTATACAAACTAATATTAAATCACTCCAAGAATGTAATCAGTTCTTCTATTGAAATACAAGATTTTACCTATCAAAAATGCACAAAGTAAAACAAATATCAAGTGTTTTCAAATTTTTGTCTTTATGTTGTGTCTGATAGGTCCATTGGGACAGGTGTATACTAGCATAACTTCATGTAAATGTACGTTCACTGCTTTGTATGTTTACAAATGACACATTAATAAAATATTTAATTCATTTTATCAAATCTGGCCAAACTGGGGGGGGGGCGTGTAAGCTTGTCTGGGCTAATTACTGGCAATATCACTGTTTACAATGATAAAAAGGTTAAAATGTATTCAATTTTTCTGTCCACTTACGTCCAAAAACGTTCTTAATGTCGGAGTATATTTAAAGCAGTGTTGTTCACTAATGAGATATTTTATGTAACCAGACCCCACATATTTTATTTAAATATAGCCTCATGTGACATCAGAGAGTAACAACCCGTAATGCCACATGAAAACATAACATCTTCTCCATATGTTGACATTACTGAATGGGCCTCAAACCCGTACCAGGTAACAAAATGTTTTCTTCTGTTAGTTACCAGTTACATTCCTTTGCTTAGACGCTTTACGACCTTATCAAAATCTAGTGGTTTGGTGTAATAAAGAAGGTATCATATCACACAGAGGGTGATATACCAGAATAATTCCCCTGACAAGATAATGTCAACCTTGGCTTATACCTTACTTAACATCACTGGTCTTAGATGAACATTTTGTTTTATCACCCCTATTGGGATGTGATATAAATATATTATTACCAAGATTTTATGAATAAGACTTTATGCTTTTGACATGAAGCAAAAAAATGTTTATGTACTCTTTAACATTTAAAATTTATTAAGTTAAAACTGTCCAAAATTATCCACACTCTCTGCTATTATAAACAGAACAACAGAACAACATCTGACAAAAGTTCATCAAGGTCACTTGTCAATCCTGACAAACATTCTTATATGATTAACCAAGAACTTGAAGCAAACATCTTATTAACTCATTAAAATATGTTGAAATTATCCTAAATCACAAAGCATTTAATATATACCCCCAAGCACATGGAAATTATACTTCAAATAAAAAGCATTAAATAAATACAATATAATTCTAATGCTTAAACAAAGCTATCCCAACATACATAATATAGTTCATTATTAAAGCTTTTTTTTCCGTAAGCTAATAAAAATATCACCAACTCCTCTCTTCCTGAATATCCTTTTGTTCCGTACTATACAGTCAACACAGTGTGCCACACACACTACTGCAAGTTGGACTTACAGTATTTACACAGGTTTTCATTGTATCCCAATTATTTTCTGATACATTTTTCATCATATATTCATGGCTGATGGATTTACCTTTTTTCATCATATATTCATGGCTGACACATGGACCTTATTTCATCATATATTCATGGCTAAAGGATGTATCTTATTTTGTCATATATTCATGGCTGAAGGATGTATCTTATTTCATCATATATTCATGGCTAAAGGATGTACCTTATTTCATCATATATTCATGGCTAAAGGATGTATCTTATTTCGTCACATATTCATGGCTAAAGGATTTACCTTATTTCATCATATATTCATGGCTCATGGATGTACCTTAATTCAGCATTAATTCATGGCTGGGTATCTAATTACGTAACAATCTTGCAATCAGCACGTCCACAAGATGCATCCTACACTATCCCCTTGCCAATGATTTCACTATCTCTTTATTGATGTTTCTTTATAAAAAAATGAACCAGTACCAATGTACAATGATGAAGAAAGCCTGTCAACCCGATAGAGGCCCGTCTTTATTATTCATGATGATGATACAATGCCTGTGTAATTTATTATTGATCATGTAATATAATGTAATATAATCCTAACTATATAAATATATAGAGAAGATCACTATAGGTTGGCTAGTGCACTGAGTATCACAAGAATGGGTTTGTTGCTCCTGTTTTTGGTGCCCCAGAGTATTGTTGTGCTGTAGACTGAAATAGACAAAACAAGAATATTGTTATAGTTTATATGAAACACTTTATTGATGCTCAACTCTGTTAAAGGCACATCATGCCTCAGAAACAAATTTTTTCCATAATGGTTTTAAAACATGTTAGATGTTTATCACCTGAAGAAAGTAGCTCTGAAACTGTTTGTCATAAAAGCAGCAAAGTAGTATTTTGACATCCATACAAAATACTCAATCACTATAACTGTTCTAAATGCCAAAGGAAACAGAAACAAAAGATGGTTCAGGTAATTGGCTAATGAGTATTTTTTTTTACTATAATAGAATACCAAACTCAAAGCTTATGAGAAATAGAAATAAAGGATTTTCTGTGGCATTATGGATTTATAATTATATTTTGCAAGTTTAAAAAACTTTTAAACCTCAAGTTCAAACATGATTATTAAGCCTCGATTCTGCAAAAAGGTTCTCACAACTTTTATTACTAATTTTCTGCTACCTGGAACTAACCATTAGTGGTGCCTTAAAAAATACACTAGTGCTTGAACCCACAATTCCTGGGTTGTGATGCAGACATTTTAATTAAACTTTGTAAGGATTTAAAAAGCAGTGTCTATTCTAGGAGGAGGAATGATGGGATTCACCCATATTTTTGAGAATTCCCCCCGGTTTTTTTTTCAGAGGAAGGGGGAAAAATTTACATAGAGAAAGAAGGAAAAAGATCAACAAATGTAATAAATTTTCAATTTTCGATAAAAAATCCCCCCTGTTTTTCGAATCTTAGAATAGACACGGAAAAAGTGTCCAACAGCAAGGTGACAAAGAAACATTTAGAATGTAAGTGCTCATTAAAACAAATATTGGCTTGAACAAATAGTATACATGAAAAAAGGAAAAAAATCCACAGTCTATAGCCATAATTTATTGCTTATTCTACATTTCAGACAGTAATCATCTTTAATACTGAAGTTTAGATATGCACACATAGAACATGCCCTATACATCTAGAGGCAATCATATTTTAATTTCTTAACCCTTAATATGCTGGAACCTAGTGTGAAACCTTTACCACCAGTATAGATCCAGGCCTGCTTACAAATTTGAGCAGTCTGAGCAGGCTTTATACTGTTGAAAATTCATTCAGTTTTTGTATTTCTATATTGCAATCTCTTAAACTTTTGGTGTGGCGGCGTGGCCGAGTGGTAAACACGTCTGACTAGTAATCTAAGGATTGCTGACCGCGTGGGTTCAAACCCCTGCCAAGGGGAAAGCTGTTGTTTCCTTCAGCAAGAAACTTTACATTCATTGCTTAGTACTGGTTGGTTCCAGGAACAGATTCGAGAGTGTTTTCAATAAGCTTATAGCTTCCAACACAATCGAACTAAAATAAGTTTGTATAAACTAATCTCTTAAACTTTAAATGAACTGTTCCAAAATCAAAGTCCAAGTCAATTATACAAATTCAGCAGATTAAAGTTTAATGATTTTTTATCTTAATTGGATGCAAATTTCTTAAATTATTATAATGACTTTGTATCAATTTAAATAAAGAAACAGTTAAATTAAACAGACCATAAATGGGTTAACTGTAGCTGAAGAGGCAGGCATTTGTCCCCAGCCCCCACCAACTGGTGCTCCACCGAATCCTTGCATCTGTGCAGGCTGACCTCCAAACCCTGCTTGATGCTGTGGCTGCCCACCAAACCCTGCCTGTTGCTGAGGTTGACCTCCGAACCCGGCCCCTGGCATTGCACCAAATCCTTGCTGCTGTGGCTGTCCTCCAAACCCTGCCTGTCCGGGTGGAAATCCTTGCTGGGTATTTGTCTGAGCACCCCCAAAACCACCCGCAGTAGTGTTAGCACCAAAACCACCATTTTGTTGTATCCCACCAAATTGTCCGAATCCTGCTCCAGCCGTGCTAGCAGGCGTACCAAATTGTCCGAAACCAGCACCGGCCGAGCTAGCTGGTGTACCGAACTGTCCAAAACCTGCACCAGCTGTACTGGCCGGAGTACCAAATTGTCCAAAACCTGCACCAGCTGTGCTGGCCGGAGTACCAAATTGTCCAAAACCTGCACTCTGAGAAACTGCAGTATTTTGTGCCCCAAAAGCCCCGAATCCACCTGTGCTAGCAACTGCCTGTCCGCCGAATGGGTTAGCATTAGGAGCCTGTTGGACCCCCATTGAAGACTGTGATGTTAATGATGTATTACTGCCCCCTCCAAAAGGATTTGCAACTGAAATAAAATAGAAGTATATTAAGCATGCATTGAATTGTAGTTCTGAATAGAATGTTATCTGGAACTCAGTTAATGCCAGTTTTTCCCAACTAATCCCGTAGGTACAGAAATACTTTTACGGTTATAGCTTCACGGTGCTCTACTCGTCACAATAGTTCAGTCAACCTGTTGCGCTTATTTTCAAGCTGTGCAATTGTAATAAAAGTTTGTTTGTACTTACGGATTACCTGGGAAAACCCGATAATTCTTAATTGCAGATTTCGTCTATTGACTCATTACACATAATTATATATATAACTTTATAATTACAGAAAACCTTATATTGACGAAATGTTGATTCATCACAACCTTGGCATAACATAATATATACAGTTTTATCTGAAACTTCGAGTTATGACAATTTTGCATTGAATCCACAATATAAAATAAAATATCTTCAACCTGTGGATAAAGCATTAAGTTTGGAATGGTTATTTTTTTTTTTTTGAAGTACATTTTTACTGATATATATATATAACTGTGTGAAAAGGGAATAAAATCAGATTCTTATTGTAAATGAAATAAAAAATTTCTTACATCATAATTATTCATCTTTTGAATACCACATGTCTTAACTCTGCTTTGAATTTTGAATAGTCCATAATTATGGAGTTATAAGGATTTCGAAATCAAAATTCAGAAATTACGCTACCAACAGAATAGTTTGATATTCAACTACTACTACATGTAAAATCCTTTATAAGAATGATTCCACTGAAAGTTTAGAAGCCACTGTAGCTGTTTAACCCTTTCCCCCATGAGCATATTGTGAAAAATGGCCATTTTCACTGAAAAGCCTCCTCTTACAAGTTCAAACTGCTATGAAACTATGAAAAATGCTTCAATACTAATCAAACTTGGCACAAATGTTGACTGGACCATTGCCTTTGTAACGACATGCTCAGTCTTAAATTTCCTGTCACCATGGCAACGAGGGGATACTCAAAATTGCCAAAAATCACTTTTTTGCCTCGATCTTTTCCATCAAAATTTATTTCAAAGTGCTGCAACTTCTCAAGGGATTGAGATAGAGTCAAAGGCTTTTCAGCGTTGGTTACACGTTACCTTATGATCGACCTGGGGTCATTTTAAGCCTCTCACAAGTCCAAAAGTTTCTTGGCGATGAGGGGGACTCCGCCCCCCTTCAAACCCCCCAAACAGAAGGGGGCACATCCCCCTTCTGGCAACCCCCTGATGTAATATTTGGATGGGGGACGGCGCCGAAAAAATGGTCACTTTTTTTAACATATTTGGATGGGGGACGGCGCCGAAAAAATGGTCACTTTTTTTAACAACATTTCTCAAACGAAAAACAGTGTTTGGGGCCTAAATAGGGCATTTTTTCACTGTTTGAGGCCTCAAAAGGGGGGGGGGGGGGCAAAAAGCCGTCGAAACACGCTTATATAAGGGAAAAGGTTAAAAAAAAAATTTTCATATTAGCAACTTAGTAGTTGACCTACTTCTGCAGTGTTTTTCTAGATAGATGCAAGGTTTAAATGAATGACTGAATAAATTAATGCTAAAGAAGACAGTTAAAGCGAAATACTGACATTCTTCAAGCATTCTCATTGGACGAAAAAGTAAAGCAAAGAATAAAAAATAATAGTTATCTTTATATAATGAAGCAGACTGATGCAATAATTCATTTACTTACATTACTAAAATTACATTATGATTATTTTCATTGACCACTCCCTATCCCTAACCTACCTAATCATCACAAATTTTCAAATTGAAAAAAATAATCCCAACATCAGGGGTACATGTAGCATTATATGAAAACCTGAAGATAGTTCTGGCCATAACAATTAAACTGTCAAAAGTTTACCATGCATCAATTTTCCAAACCATTAAAAAGGATAAAAATTACCAAGATAACCCATGCAAACAATCTCTCATACTATGTATAAAACCAGAGACAAAAATTAAATTATCAACATTCGGGGGGCCAATCCATATAACAATTTTTTTGTTATAAAACTGTTTGTTAGCCACTTTCCACCAATTTTGATACAAAGTCATGCCTTTTCATGTGTATTCTTGTGTTCATTATTTCATTTTATATAGAGATCTTGCATTTAGTGTTAAGTTTCAGCTGCATTTAAACATTCAAAGAAAGTTAAATAATTAAAGAAACAAGAAAAAACCCAAAGAATTTGAACTTGCAAGATATGAATTTACTTAATCAGAATGGAAGTGACATACAAATAGTTTTATTTTTCAATTCAGGTCCTATTTGAGCATGTTACCTGAATGTAACTACATGTATATAATGCACTGGTATCATATAGATGGATCAGTGCAAAATGGACATAACCCCTTTGTTTCGTAATAAGAGTTACAGCTGTTTTGCACCAAATCCCTTAATCATTATAGTTTGTAGACAGCAGATTGAATGCAGACAGTATAAATCTCTTAGTTTTATATTGTATATGCCTCAATAATGTCAAGGATAGATAATCATTTTACAATTGTACCATATACTATAATATTACCTGACATAAGATTGATGTCACTTTTTGTAACTTTTTATGTAATTTGATTAAAATTTAATTTTAGAGTTTAATAGATTACACAAGTGTTGCTATGAAACAGTTATATTATTCTACAGTTACTGGATATATTTCACTGTCTATATATAGTACATTACTATGGTAACAACTGGTTAGTGTACACAGATTTCTGCATAAAATAATTATCATCCAACTATACAACATACTGTATACATGTTTGTTTCAACATTTACTGTAATACATTCATAATACATTCATTAAATAAACATTTTGCTTTAGAAATTAATGTTTCTGCACTTTTTCAACAAAAAATGTATGTCATAATTATGTTTGTTACATATATTTTTTCTTTATGATTTCAGAAATAAATTTTTTGTCAATGTGATCATGACCAAGAGATCATTTGTATGTCCATGTGTCTGTCCATGTGATTATTTATCTGTTCATGTTTTTGTCCATGTGATCATGTGTCTGTCCATGTGATCAATTATCTGTCAATGTGATCATTTGTCTTCCTTTTCATTTGTATTTCCATGAGATCATTTATCTGTGCATGTGATCATTTGTCTTTCCATGTGATAACTTGCCTTTTCTTAGATCATTTATCTGACCATGTGATCATTTATCTGACCATGTGATCATTTATCTGTCCATGTGATCATTGGTCTTTCCATGTGATTATATGCCTTTCCATAAAATCATTTGTCTTTCAATGTAATCACTTGTCTGTCCATGTATGAGATCATTTATCCATTTATGTGATCATTTTTCCATGTGATCATTTTTTATGTGATCAATTGTCCATGTGATCATTTGTCCATGTAGTCATTTGTTCATGTAATCAGGACAGTTAGTAATATATGATACAAATATACATAAATTTGTAATTGAACTTCTAACATAAACAGGCATTTCAGTTACAATGATGAAAGAGTTACAATGATGAAAGTTCCTCTACAGAAAACAGATGTCTCTCAAATCATTGAACGCTTGCAAAAACAATGCCATGTCCTTGTCTCCAGGCTGGCATTAAATTCTGTTGTGTCTACCCCTCTAAGACCCATCCCCCACCCTAACAACGAATATTTCGAAGTTTTGATCAAGAACATTTTATCACTCCAAATTCAATGTTAGTGAATATGCTTTCAATCAATATACAAGTCAGACATGCATACAAGAATCAAATTACATAATTATAGCATGGTATACTATCTTATTCTGGATATATCAAGAATTAATGTCTCGACTAACAAATTACAAGTCTACAAGTATGAATATCTGCTCATGTTTTATACAAGGTTATAATTATTAAACCTAAATCTAACTTCTTTGACATATTGACATCTCCTGTCCTTTAAAACTTTTTCAAGGACATCGACTTTTCCTTTATTAGCTGATTTAAAATTTACATAAATCTACATATTCAGAGAAATGTTACAATTCAAGATAAAAATTTTAATGGTAAAAATTTCGAGGAATGCACCTAAACACATTGCAGGCAGAAATCACAAGATGCATCATAAAGGAAGCCTTGAATGCCAAAGTTGTCAGTTTAAGTTTTAATATTTCCTCTTTTTCTAATCTACCTTTAACACTTATTTTGATTTACTAAGAAACTTGCCATTACAGTTACTACTTAAATACATTTCAGATAGCACAATAATGGAGGAGGTAGAAACTAAGAGCTGGTCAGGCAGACAGAAAGTATTCTTAGTACACGATAGTAAAACCAAAACAATTCAAAGGAGAATGGGTCAGTCAAAGTCCAGTAATGGGTCTAAGTCAGTGACCTTTCAATTATGAAATCATGTATGAAGTTCTAAATAAATACCTTCAGTGGTTGTTGGAGGTTGAGATTAGGCCTACTCACTTAACCAGGAACATTTTAACCAACAAAGGGGTATAATTCAGTACAATTTCACATTTGAGTTATAGATCTTGAGTAGTGTAATTAAAGCACAAGTATGGAAATTTCAATAAAAACCACCAAAGGTGAATGGGATATGAAAGTGTAGGCCAAATCTTAACCAAGTAATAATGGGATATGAAAGTGTATGCCAAATCTTAACCAAGTAGTAATGGGATATGAAAGTGTATGCAAAATCTTAACCAAGTAATAGGCTAATGTCAGGCTGAAAACTAGAAGGAAATGCTTACTACTTGCAATAGTTGAGCTAGAAAATCATAATATATGTATATCTAAATGCTTAAAAGTAAAATTTTCAGCAAATGTATACAGATGTGTTGGAACAAAACAAAGCAATGGGTAACGTTGTGTTTTCCAGCCATTTCTATGAAGATCGAAATAAAGAAATAATTGACATGTACATAAATCACAATGCATCAACAAGACAAGTTTTGCATAACCCAGTGGCAGTGCTCAAAAATAGTTTTGAAACAAATCTTTAGCTGCAAATACCAGCAAAAGTAAGTAAATATTCAAACTTTCAACCAAACATTCTTCTTTTTGCACTAAAGTCATTTGGTAAATTTATCAGAAGTTGCTTAGCATATAACAATTACAAGTACATATGAGGCGCGTCATGACAAAACCAAAATAACGTTTTTACGACAGGCATGGATCCAGACCAGCCTGCACATCCATGCAGTCTGATCAGGATCCATACTGGTCGCTGTCAGTTTCTCTACTTGTAATAGAGTTGGTAAGCGAACAGCATGGATCCTGATCAGACTGCGCGAATGCGCAGGCTGGTCTGGATCCATGATGGTCGCAAACGCACTATGTTGGGTTTGTCGTGACGCAGCTCATATAAATATTATGTTCTATTTAGTTCTAACATTGTTCCAAATGTCACAATTAACTGATTTTTAAATTAATCATCATGACTCAATATTAAGCTACAAGATAATTTTGTTGCAACAAAAAAGAAGTCACCAAATGACTTTTGTCAAAACTCTAGCATTCAGTAACAATTGTTGCTTTTTTTCTGTGAACACGGAAATAAAACTTCTCTCTCAATAAAACAGTGTGTCAATATGTCACATTGATGTCACTTTTCCCAATATCTGAAATAATGATATCATATGTTATTCCCTATAAAGTAATACTATACATTTATATCTGATATTATTATCCAATGATTTAACTTTTCCCAGCATCTTATACAATGAAATTTCTGTCATGATTTTTCCCAAAATATAAAAAGGAAGATTTAATATATGTACATGACTGTCTGAACGATTTTAGGCTTTGATTCCTGGCTTTTCAATACATGGTAGTTACATATTAATAACAGTTTGGAATAAAAAAACTTATACCTTGTTACAATGACAAGGTGCTTTCATGTCCCACCTCCCTCTTGAAATCTTACTGTGAAACACTGGATTTGAACAAACTTTTATTCAAAACTTTTATTCAAATATGAGTGAGAATGTTTACAGATTCCATGTTCACAGTATATATAGTAAATAAAACTAAAAATAACATAATAAAATGCTGTAAATATGTCAAGAATAGTCTTGATATATCGTGATGCAAGGCACGTTTTACCGGTGGCTGTCAAGAATGGATTGCCGGGCACGCCTAGACCTATATAATGTGATTAAAATCATGTTAGTGAAATAAAGCATGTGAAATGCACAAAGTTATTCCTGCAAAATATCATTATGTTTATAAAACTGCACATTTGTGTTGCTGATTTTCATTTGATAATTGTGAAATTACTATTATCACAACTATGCACAAACTGTTGTAATTTTTTTAATTTGTACACATCACAGGGTGACTGAGCTATCCACCCACTTATACACTATCTCTCCTAAATAGTAAACAGTTCTGAACAGTGACATAGGAATTGTGCAGTAGTATAAAAATGTTATAAAGACTTTTTGACAGGTTATATGACCATGTATAAACAGTTGTTTGTTATATAACCATTATCTTGTGGCTTGGGTTATATAATGTATCAACCAATTAAACTGGAACATATAACCTTTCCTGGGTCATATAACCTTGACTGTCATATAACTGGTACTGGGTCATATAACTTTTGATGGGCCATTTAACCTTTGTTGGGCCATATAACCTGTCTAATACCTTTATATAGCCATTTTGATAGCTTCATGATTAAGTGACATACTGTGTGCACTTTAAAAATTAAAGATACATTTGTACATTCTGAACCATATCATTTATGTTCATATGAAATGCAGTAAAATATTATTTAGTAGACTGTCTCAATACTGAGTGTGAAAAATAAACATCCACCTTTTTTCTAACTATAAGGTGTATATCCTAATGTTTTCATTAAAACTGTCAAAAAAAAATAGACAAAATATCAAGAAAATAATAACAGAAGTATACGTTTAAGTAAACTGAAACATTGAGTATACATATTTTTTTTTCCAAAACAAATATTTAGATATACATGTAGGTCTCAAAATACTACACTAAGAAGGTAACTAACAAATTGACAATCCAAAAAATAGTTTCAAAGTATGTTTTGTTAGTAACTGAAACAAGCAGATTTTGTTCCGCCAAACTATTAAGATAGTAAAATAAATTGAATCTATATTTACATGTTCTTACAAATTTTAGATGATAATAAATAGACCCTTAAGAGTGCAGACTATACCTAAGGTTATTAACAGATCACAAAATTTGACAAATTAAAGCATACCATTTGATTGTGCAGTGGCTGGTGCTCCACCCCATGACATGCTGGATGGTACTGTACTACCGGTACTTCCTCCCCAATTTAAACTAGAGGAGCTGGGAATCGACTGAGTGGAAGAGCTGTTCCAAAGTCCTCCCCCGGAGCTAGCAGTATTACTTTCTCCTCCCCAGTTAATACCACCGGTAGAATTAGTTGTTCCCCCCCAGCTTACACCGGCGTTACTTGTACTCATTGAACTCCAACCTTGATTATAAAAAAAATTCATCAAAATAAAATTAAGCATTTGAAGCAAATATTTTGTTGTCCTTAAATATCTGTCTAAATATAGAATATCTTCGCATTCAGCTCCTGGCTTGAAATAAGGAGCAAAATAGTTCTAGCTTATGAATAACACTCAAAGTCTGCAAACAGTATTAAATAATCACTTTAAAAATGAAGATCATAACCACATTCATGCAACATTACTGAAAGCAAACAAAATGAAAACCTACATGTTGAAACAAGAGGGCCATGATGGCCCTAAGGTCGCTCACGCTGTATATAGGTCCCCCAACCCCCCCCCCCCCCCCCCCAAACATTGCAGGGCCAATTTAACCCAAGGGCTTTTATTTGCACAAACTCGGTAGACACCCATAAGAAGATGTTTCATGCTAAACATCTAAGCTCTAGCTCATTGGGCTTTATTGAAAGAAGATTTTTTTTAAGTTTTTACTATACACATGTAGTTAAAAACAATGACACCCCTGGGGCCGGGCCAGTTTTGACCCCAGGGCTTTTATTTGAACAAACTTTGTAGACACTTACTAGAAGATGTTTCATGCTTAATATCTAAACTCTAGCTATTTGGGTTTTTTCAAAGAAGATTTTTAAGCTTTTGCTATACACATATAAAGAAAATCAATGACCCCCGGGGCGGGGCCAATTTTGACCCCAGGTCTTTTATTTGAACAAACTTTGTAGACACTCACTAAAAGATGTTTCATGCTTAATATCTTAACTCTAGCTATTTGGGTTTTTTCAAAGAAGATTTTTTAAGTTTTTGCTATACACATATAAGAAAAATCAATGACCCCCGGGTGGTGCCAATTTTGACCCCAGGGCTTTTATTTGAACAAACTTGGTAGACACCTATTAGAACATGTTTGATGCTAAATATCTTAGCCATAGCTCTTTGAGTTCTTTAAAAGAAGATTTTTTAAGTTTTTACTATATGCATATAGGGAAAATCAATGATCCCCCGGGGCGGGGCCAATTTTGACCCCAGGGCTTTTATTTGAACAAACTTGGTAGACACTTATTAGAACATATTTCATGCTAAATATCTTAGCTTTAACTCTTATGGTTCTTTAATTGAAGATTTTTTAAGTTATTTTTATATGCATATAGGGAAAATCAATGACCCCCTGGGGTGGGGCCAATTTTGACCCCAGGGCTTTTATTTGAACAAACTTGGTAGACACCTATTAAAACATGTTTGATGCTCAATATCTTAGCCATAGCTCTTTGAGTTTTTTAAAAGAATATTTTTTAAGTTTTTACTATATGCATATAAAGAAAATCAATGACACCCCGGGGCGGGGCCAATTTTGACCCCAGGGCTTTTATTTGAACAAACTTGGTAGACACCTATTAGAACATGTTTCATGCTAAAAATCTTAGCTCTAGCTCTTTTGGTTCTTTAAAAGAAGATTTTTTAAGTTTTTACTAATTATGCATATAGGGAAAATCAATGACCCCCTGGGGCGGGGCCAATTTTGACCCCAGGGCTTTTATTTGAACAAACTTGATAGACACTTATTAGAACATGTTTCATGCTAAATATCTTAGCTTTAACTCTTTTGGTTCTTTTAAAGAAGATTTTTTAAGTTTTTACTATATGCATATAGGGAAAATCAATGACCCCCCTAAGGCGGGGCCAATTTTGACCCCAGGGCTTTTATTTGAACAAACTTGGTAGACACCTATTAGAACATGTTTGATGCTAAATATCTTAGCCATAGCTCTTTGAGTTCTTTAAAAGAAGATTTTTTAAGTTTTTACTATATGCATATAGGGAAAATCAATAACCCCCCCCCCCCCCCGGGCGGGGCCAATTTTGACCCCAGGGCTTTTATTTGAACAAACTTGGTAGACACCCATTAGAACATGTTTCATGCTAAATATCTTAGCTCTAGCTCTTTTGGTTCTTTAAAAGAAGATTTTTTTAAGTTTTTACTATATGTATATAGGGAAAATCAATGACCCCCCGGGGCGGGGCCAATTTTGACCCCAGGGCTTTTATTTGAACAAACTTGGTAGACACTCACTAGAAAATGTTTCATGCCAAATATCTAAGCTCTAGCTCTTATGGTTTTTTAAAAGAAGATATTTAAAGTTTTTTCTTTCGGTTGCCATGGCAACCAGAGTTCTGCATGGAATTAAATTCTTTGAACAATTTTTAAAGGTGACCACCAAAGGAACATTCCTGTGAAGTTTGGATGAAATTGGCTTAGTGGTTTATGAGGAGATGTCATTTAAAGTAAAAGTTTACAGACGGACGACGGACGGACGGCCGGACGCCGGACGAAAAGCGATCACAAAAGCTCACCCTGTCACTTTGTGACAGGTGAGCTAAAAATATGAATGAGAATTACACAGACATGATATCATAATATCTTGCAAACTGCTAACAAGTTTTTTTAAGAAAATTTCAGTTCATATAGGCTTTCCAGCTTTACTGAATGAAAAAGATTTTAGGCAGCATTAGGCAGTCTCTCACCACTACAGCTGGAAAGTTGACCATTTGACCATGACAGGTTAATTGGTTAACACTGAAAATCTCACCAAGGAAAGAAACTATGCTCTATTGATCAAATATATAGCATATAAAACAAGAGAACCACATTCGGTGTTAACCCTCAGCTGTTAAAATAACCATTTTTGACAAAAAATTTAAGTTAAAATGGGGCATAACTCCAAATCTATAACTTTCAGAATTATGCCCGTTGTCCAATAACTGCATCAGCCATTTTGTCAAGATAAACACGTGTTCCAAGTTTCATGTTGATTAGTTTTAAAATGTTTAAATAATGGGCTACATTTTTTTTGCATGATAACAATGATGCAGCAATCATAATAGCTCAACTTTTTCACTGAAACATACAATCTAACAAGAGCAGCAAATTATAAAACAGGAAATATCTAAGAATTTACTAATAGATTTTTATTTTTTATGCATATCTAAGAAAAAGTTGTTCTTAAAGAAATGAAAAGTAAACAAAATAGTAAACAAAATATGCAATTATATGCCTCTATACTACAAGGGTATGGGAGTGGGGGGGTAGAAATCTTGGTCGGAAAAGGATGGGGAGAGGGGCGAGGGTATGCATGCAGGAAATCTCTAAAATTCACAATGTTCCAGTTTCATTACAACATTAATTTTACATTTCAGTTATTTTTTTATTGATGACCACATTCGTGACTATCAGAAAAATATAATATTAAGAGATTAAGCAATATCAAAACCCTGTCAGTGGACACAAAAAGAGGTGTGAAAATATTACATACGGCAAGAATGTTTAGCAGAAACCATATAGATAAGAATAATAGTACTAAAGCAACACTCGCTATTCCTATAACCAATATTTACAAAATTATGTCATGTAAAATTTTACAATTTGATTTCTAAAATGATGTGTTCAGGCATATTTACAGCTACATTGTACATTGGGCCGTATTTTCTAAGCCAGAGACACCTTTTTCATTATAGTCCATTCACAATAGGACTTAAAAAATCACCGATGTGAAGTGTGAAAAAATCAGTAATGAAACAGGTGAAAAAAATCATTGTTATGAAAAAGGTGAAAAAATCACTGTTATGGAGACAGCAAAGTGTTGCTTTCATACTCTACAATAGTTATGTTGTGCAAGCTATGGCCAGTATGTTGACGCAATGATACTATATACGGTGAATATATATATGTATGTATTTATATACTGCTACTTTTAACATAAATGTATCCTTCATACATCCTAAATATATAAACTGAGGAGATTAACAAAACAATCAACATCTAATATTACCTGTTGATGGACTTTCTTCCGACGTTGTTGGGACACTGAACAGATCTGAGAGGTTCGAATATTTGTCCCCACCAGCGCCCCCTGCTGGAACAGAAGATGCTGGCGTGGACGTGAAACCGTTAACAGACTGTTGCGATGCCTGAGAACTGGACCCCGAGGGCTGCAGGGGTGCTGAAATTATATAGTATAGTTACCATGTGACCTGCCAACCTATATATCGCCCGTGCTAAAGCAGTGCAATTAGCTTTCTAAAAAAAATTTATTACTATATAACTACAATCTCCTATCGTTCTGTGATTCGAAATATTCAATTCTCACATGCTTCACACTATTCCTTTATTATAACAGTAATCAAGTGCACACCTACACGAAAATAAATAAAATAAGGAAAGGAACATTCACAAGCTCTACAACATCATAAAATTACTTCTCCCCTCACTGTAGTCCAACATATTTTAAATAATTCTCCCTCCCAATAATTTGTTTGCAAGCTTCTTTGTTTAAGTTTTTTTCTCCAAAGTCCAATTCAACATATTTCAATTGGTCAATTTAACCCTGCTTTCCTGGATACCTAACCAGTAATAACCAATTTCTCTGCAAGTGACCAACATGAGTCAGTGATTAGAGACTAATGACCATTACAATCAGTATTTGAGATCATTTGTCATGGAACAACAGCATGTTAGAATAGAAATAAATATCACCTTCTCTTGCAAAAACAACACACTTAAAGGTAATATCTATTTCCTAGATTTACTGATTAGTTGAACTAGATAAAACAGTCCCCATAGGCTTTATGTAAGGCATATTTCTAGCACTACCAGTAGTCATTTTATCTAAGATCTGTAGATAATTTCTAGCACTTTACTATCTTTAAATGCACTATGTTACAAACTGCTACCCCGAAATTACAAATCTACGTCCAAACATTGTGACTTTGACCATTTTCAATGACTACAGAAGATTGAATAGTGTTTTAAAAGCAAAATTAATATTACTTCACAAACATATTTTCAACAAAAGTAAGTTATTTAAAGGTTATTTCTATAAATTCTTAAGCAGAATATTAGCTGCCCAAGTAATGATATTAGGGGCATGCTATTTAATGCTGTAATGTACAGGTCTGCAATTCACTTGTTTTAAAGAAGTAAATGTTGAATTTGTATAACATACAATCAAGATTACACCACTGTTGGGCATCAGTTGCAAAAATTTCATTATAAAGTTTCAAACCGAAGTATATGTAATTATGGTTTTGTTAATTTGTATGTTTGAATTTTCAGCTTATGTGTAGTAATGTAATAACTTATATGTTTGTATTTTGATACACTTATGTGTCTCTGTATGTAAAATAAAGTTAGAAATGGCTATTTAACTATGTGCATAATGTATTATATGTTTTCAAATAAAGTGTCCATAATTTTACAAATAGCTTCATATTTGACTACACACTGGCATGTCCTTTTATCAATGATTACAGGTTTATCCAAAATTAAAGTTTCAGCAAGAAAGATAGGGAATCTTGTTACGAGACTTCTTAGTGACCAGAAATTATAATAAAGACCGTACAGTGGTTACTTAAGTCAGTGTAAATCACATTAAGAAACAATGATGATGATATGAAGTTATGATAAAGCAAAGATTAGAGACAGATTATCTACAGTAAAAGCTCTGATAAATGTACATACTAACAATTATCTTGATAAAACTCTTGAGATATATAAAACTATGTTACAGTAAACAGAAAATAATAATAAATTATACACCTCTAGTCAACCTTATACTACTCTGTATTGTTGAATAATTTCTAATATTCCATTGCCTATGTAACTTTATCAACATAGAGGAAAATCATGTTTGTTTGTTTGTTTTTTGTTTGTTTTGTTTTCCACACAACAAATAGGAGAAAAGACGGCAGCAAGCAATGTTCACCAATATCCCCAAATAACAACCAGTATAAAAACTTTATACCATAAAGTTCAAGCAAACCGTAATGGTTAGGTATATTCTGTCAACCGTGTTCTGTCTGGAACAATTTTTTACATACCTGACTGTGGGAATGATGGAGTCTGTTGTGTACTTGATGCCGTGTTACCAAAGTTACCAAAATCTGCAAAACCACCTACAAACATACCCAAATAACTGATTGTTTATTTGATTTTTACATCAATTTAGACACATTTTCAGTTCATCATTAGAACTGGCTTTACTGGATGACTAACCAGTTATTACCAAAATCTCCGCAAGTGACTAACTGCTAATTCCACATGATTTCTGAATCAATGGTTAGAGACATATCTTCAGCATAGCAAAAGTAAAACGTATGTTTAATTTACAAAGCTAAAACTTAATCAAATCAATTTAATTTCATACACATTCAATTTATCACTTGGTTTTTTTTTCCGAATCTTTCAACAAAAGCAGTGAATTAGTTTATATGTTCCAGTAAATGCATATTACAAGTTATAAAGATACATATACCAATATAAGTTCCAGATTAAAAGAGTAATACATATTATTATAAAGATTATTGACAAGCTATAATTATGGTTCTGTATAAACAGTTGGAAACTTATATCACCCTAGCTGATAGATGAGGGTTATATATACCTAACAACTGTTTATTCATGGCCATATAACCTGTCTTTATAACAAATCTAAAACATTATATGATTGAACAAGAAGCGCTGCAATGCGACGAAAACCAGGTTTTCAATGGCCAAGTTTTTATGTGACAGCAATCAATAGGTCAAAGAGCACTGAAGTTATTGGGTAGAAGCTGAAAATTCTACTGTAAGTAAATGACCTTGAACTTGCTCCCAGATATCTAAGTAGCAATCCAAAGCTGCCACTCAGCAAGTTTGGTGTCAAAAGGTCAAAGCAAACTCAAGTTATAACATGAAAACTAAATACATTAACCTTGATCACAGACACCTGGGTAGCAATCCCAAGCTGCCTCTTGATATAAGCTACCCATTCATCAAGTTTGGTGTCAAAAGGCCAAAGCAAACTCAAGTTATTGAGCAGAAACTGAATTTCTATTTTTAGTAACAGTGACCTTGACCTTGATAACAGACACCCGGGTAGCAATCCCAAGCTGCCTCTTGATATAAGCTATCCATACACCAAGTTAGGTGTCAATAGGCCAAACCAAACTCAAGTTATAGAGCGGAAACTGAATTTCTTTTTTTAGTAACAGTGACCTTGACCTTGATCACAGACACCTGGGTAGCAATCCCAAGCTGCCTCTTGATATAAGCTATCCATACACCAAGTTTGGTGTCAATAGGCCAAACCAAACTCAAGTTATTGAGCGGAAACTGAATTTCTATTTCTAGTAACAGTGACCTTGACCTTGATCACAGACACCTGGGTAGCAATCCCAAGCTGCCTCTTGATATAAGCTATCCATACACCAAGTTTGGTGACAATAGGTCAAAGCAAACTAAAGTTATTGAGCGGAAACCAAAAGTTGACGCCCGCCCGCCCGCCGACTTCGGCATTACATTAACCCGGTTTTCGTTGAAAACCTGGTTAAAAATCAAGCAGGACTCCAAACAATGGAAGTTTGGGAGTCATAACTCCTTGATTTTGGCTTCTGACTTCTAAAATCTGTTACTTTTCCTTCTTTACCTATATAATGTGACTTCCAAACTTAGAGATTTTGCAGTCTCTGACTTCTAAATTTTTAACAGTCAAATATCATAAAAGATTTCTTTGTTTTTTTTTGTTTTGGGTTTTACGTCACATTGACACAGTATAGGTCATAACGCAAGGTTCCAGCTTTACTGGTGGAGGAAGACCTCAGGTGCCCTTCTGTGCATTATTTCAGGCACGAAAGGGCACCTGAGTAGAACCACCGATGTTCCGTAAGCTAGCTGGATAGCTTCCTCACATGAAAGAATCCAAAGTCTCTGTCGGGATTCGAACCCACAGCGGTCAGGGGCAAGTGGTTTGAAGTCAACACCTTTAACCACTCGGCCACGGACGCCCCACCATAAAAGATGATTTCACAAAAGTAAGAACAGGAAAAATATTTTATTAAATAAACATGAATGGTAAAAGTTACCTCCCCCTGGTGGATGAGTTTGTGGAGCTGAACTAGCAAACGGATCTCCGCCTAAATCTCCAAGGAGGTCCATGGCCGTAGAGCCTGTAGACTTTGATGATTGAATACTCAGGTTACCGGGGCTCTGTGGAGTTGAACCTATAGGTGGCGGGGTCGCCGACACTGGTGCTTTCTGCTGTAAAACACAATACAGACATGTGATTAACAGAAATGAAATACTTATATTTGATTCATTAAACTAAGTTCACAACACTACGTTTTAAAATTTCTAAGAATGGTATTTTAAGTTAGTTTAAGCTTCACCAATATTGCTGTAGAAATGTTATATCATATATTTTTTTCCTTCTATACAATCATACAGTATAAAAAATTCTAACAACAAAGGTACTTTATCAAGCAAACTGAGAAAGTGTATACCAAACCAATGGTCAACTGTTTGTCAAAGATATAATTTAATTTATAATTAACAACTTAAACAGTAAGAAACAAAACAATTTCACAAAAAGAGCTTTTCTTAAGAATTTTTAAGAAGAATTATCTCTGTAAAATAAAATGCACAAGCCATTTGTACCTCCTTGGCCCCATTTCCCTAAAAGAAATATAAGGAAAAAAAGGGAAAACAACCCAGTGTCTGGCTTTTTACAAAGGATAGGTCACAATGGTTTTCCTATAGCCCTAAAAATGTTGGAATGGGGGGGGGGTATCTATTACAAGAGCAGGGTTATTTTACCGCCCTATTGTATTTGCAGAATAGGTATTTTTAAAAATTGACGTTAAAAATTTCATGATATCAAAATATGTAACAGTGATTTTTCACCTTATATAACAGAGGCATTGTAAAGGCCTCTTTTTTCCCAAATGAAATTTTCTTTAAAACCATGCAGTTTTCCCTAAAAATCTGAACTTACATCAGCTCTTTACATTTTAGCAATAATTTCCCCAAAATCAAGAGGCAAAGGCCTGTGCCGCCTGTTCCCAATTAAGTGATAAAAATCAATGTCAAAGTAAATGGAAGTTCCCGATATTCAGTAGTGGTATGTAGATTAGAGTGGGGGTTGATCGCCAGGATTTACAAAAGACTTGTTCATAACAAACAGAATTTCTTTCACTAAACCATGAGAACTTAAACTAGAGAAACAAATTAATACAACTGACTAATACCCAGATGATTTTGTGTATTTTGCAATAGTGGCTAATGTTACCATTCTGAAATGTCAATTTAAAGCCTGTTTCCTTAACATTAAGTTAAACATTTAGCTAAACATTTAGTTATTATAATAAGACAAGATACCATAAAATTCCTAATAAACGCCCCTGGGGGCTAAACATTTTCCAAAAGGGGGGCTATTATTTTATTATAGTGACATTGTATTATGTACATACATAAAGATGATATATATTTATTTTTACAACGATCAGCCAAGTTGGGCCTTCAAGCCACGTAATGATTTAAACATTTTCAAAAATAATTTGTAACATCATTTACATAATATTAACTAATAAAACAAAAGTTTATATTACAGACAATAAAGTAAGGAGAAATGGATTTTCTCTCCAAATGTATTTTATTCCTTGTACTTTCAATAAGCAAATATGAGCCATGTCACGACAAAACCAACATAGTGCGTTTGCGACCAGCATGGATCCAGACCAGCTTGCGCATCCGCCCAGTATGATCAGGGTCCATGCTGTTTGCTTACAACTCTATAAAAAGTAGAGAACTTGATAGCGAACAGCATGGATGCTGATCAGACTGCGCAGATGCGCAGGCTGGTCTGGATCCATGCTGGTTGCAAACCCATTATGTTGGTTTTGTCGTGACTCGGCTCATATGTCTTGTCATTACAATATTACTTATTGACAGCTTCCATTTAAGAACGTAAAAGTTCTGTCAAATTTCCGTCAATTTGAAGTATTTTTTGTGAAACATAAAATCTTTTAATTATCGATATTGACAGGGGCTTTTTATTATTACGTCTGTTACCTGGCTTATAGTCTCCCTTTTAAAATCAGTGACTTGTTTTGATTTGCTTGACTGATTTTTTGTATTCATCCGCGGTTATTATAAATAAGTCGCTCAACTAGTTTTTGGTACAGTTTGTATGACACGTTTTTCATGGAATGTTAAATTTTGGCGGTCTTTACTGTGGCCATTTTGAAAAGAATATAATATTTTTGTGGTTACTTTGCTTCTCTAGGATACAGTTTTAAATGGACTAATTTACGTTCTTCAGAGGAGTTTCCCAGTGGGGAAAAACTTTTATTTTGAACTTTTATTTTGAATTTGTTTGTCTTTTGACTTTGAATACAGAGTTTTGTGTAACATAATTTTCTGTTTTGAATGAGGAGTTCTAGGGCTAGAAAAGCTATAGACTATAGAAAAATGGCTTCGGGTTTTAGTCCCGTCAGTGTTCCTACAACTAGTCACAGTTCGACAAGTTTGACGGAAGATTCGAGTTCTAAGGTGTCTACGAAAATTTCGGGCACTAAAGGTCCGGTAGTTACAGTTCCGGATAAAATTAGTACGACAAATGCCATTAAGTCGCATGGGAAACATATTCCTGGGAAAGAGGGCTCCGTGTCAGTTTCAGTTAAATCGAGTTTACCCGTCGGAGTCTCCGATAAATTAGACGAGCTTAAACATACGGTCTCACCGGCTAAGCTTCTCAGTGATACAGATAAAAGAAAACAACTGTTGGCTCGCCTTGCAGAATTGGACGAGAAACAGAAGGTATTGCAAGAACGGAAAGAGTTGGAGATACTTCGAAAACAGGTGGAGGAAAGAGAAGCCGTGGTGGATGAGCTGGAAAAGTCACTGTCGGGCCCGTCACTGTCAATGCCTAAGAGAGGGAAGGAAGGTTCGAAGAAACCTCGTGTAGCTGCTGGTTTTCAGGTGCCTTTGCCTTCTTCTACTCCAGCTGGAGATTCAGGTATGGATTTATTAACTATTAAACATTTGAGAGAAATGACTGGTTTGAGGAGAAGGACAAGGAAGGAAATGGCAAAACTTGGGGTTGTCAGCTCAGAGTCTTCAACTGATAATAGTGCTTCTACTACGGATAATGAGTCAACTAATGAGTCAACTGTTTCTGACTCTGATGATGGTGGTTCTGGGCTTCACAGTAGTAGTGTTAAGAAGCATAATAGACATAGTAATAAACATACAAAATCTGGTATAACTTCAAAATGTTCTGATTCTGTTAAAAATAGGCAAAAATATCCGCATTCTACCTTAAGGTTTGATTTTGTCAATAGAAATATTACTTTTGAGAAAATAGATTTTAATTTGTTTGTAGCAGGAGAATTAGAAATCATTTCTTCACCTAAGATTAGAGAAAAAGAAGCCAAAGCTAGATTGGATTTGTTAAAAAAGTTGATGTACCTAAATAGCTCATATGATTTTTCTGTTGTTAAGTCACTTTATGCTGCCATTTTGAGAGAGATTGAATTAGGTCACAGTAACTGGGGGGATGATTTCCATTATGTTGAGTCTGCAGTGCTGGCTAGACACAAAGTTAAGAATTTTAGAAATGTAGATTTTGTGCAATTACGTCCCAAACCATCGTTTGATCTTCCTCAGGAAAATTCAAGTACTGTTGGAGGTGAAGATTACAAAATTTGGTTTTGTAATAGATATCAAAGGAATAAATGTTCGCAAAAATCATCACATGTTATTGCTTTGAAAGGGGGAAAAACCCGGTTTGCAAAGCATATTTGTGCTACATGTTGGCAAACAGATAGAAAAGAGTTGCCACACCCAGAATGTTCCACTGCCTGCCCTCATGCCAGTGTATGACTTACTAATGGCTTGTGGGCTATGGCCTCAACTAATAATACATCAGATAATACTTCTTTAGATGGTTTGGCTGATATTTTCTTGCCTAGTTTTTGTAAATATCAACACATAGGTTCGTCTCCTAAGGTTATTGAAGACTCTAATTTTTGAAAATTCAGTTGTAAAGTGTGTTTGTAATCATAAAAAAAGTTGTAAGGTTTGTTTAAGCTTGAAAGAAACATTATCTCTTTCATCTCAGGAAAAAATTGAGATAAGTCGGGAGGTTAAATCTTCAGGCCTTTATAATTTTGAAGGCTGCAGGATTCCTGTTAATAATAGGATAGATACAGATTTTATTAAGCAAATGCTGCATGGTTACAATGATATGTTGGTGTGTGATTTATTAAAATATGGTTTTCCAATTGATGTAACATTAGAGGATAAAAAAATTCTATTTGATAAACCACCTTGTAAGAGGAATTTAGCTGGTGCAACCGCTTTCCCGGATCATATGTTGAAATATTTACAGAAAGAAGCTTCTTGTGATGCTATAATTGGTCCTTTTAGTTCTTGTCCTTTTCTAGATGGTATGGTCATTTCTCCTTTAAACACAGTCCCCAAGTCCAATCCTAATGAGAGACGTATTATTTTAGATTTGAGTTTTCCCAAGGATGGTACAGGAGTTAATGATTTTGTTTCGAAGGATGAATATCTTGGTTCTGATGTTGAACTGGTTTATCCTAAAATAGATGACTTTGTGTCTCTTATTAAAGCCAAAGGTCAAGGTTGTTTAATGTTTAAGTTAGATCTGCGTCGAGCGTATAGGCAAATAAGCATTTGTCCATCCAGTTATAATTTAGTGGGTTTCAAATGGAAAAAACATATTTTCTTTGACACTGTATTATCTATGGGGTTAAGATCTTCAGCACATATTTGTCAAAGAGTGACAAATGCTTTTGCTTTTATGATGTTCAAATTTGGTTTTTGTATATGTAATTATCTAGATGATTTTTGTGGTGTGGAAAAAAATGATGTGGCTCATTTTGCTTTTATGTTACTTAGAGAGATTTTTGTTAGGAGTGGCATTGAGGAAGCTCTTGATAAAGCTTGTCCTCCTTCTGACATTATGGTCTTTTTAGGTGTTTTATTTAATAGCAGTACTATGACCATGGAGGTTACTCAAGAAAGACTTGCAGAGATTAAGTCTTTGGTTTCTTCTTGGTTAGGGAAAGAGTCGGTTACTTTAAAAGAGATACAAAGTTTGTTGGGTAAACTTAACTTTGTGGGTGCTTGTGTTAGGTCAAGTAGAATATTTGTTAACAGGATTTTGAATTGGTTTAGAGAATGTCATGCTTGTTCTTCAAATAAATTTTTAGTGACTAATGACGTTAAAAAAGATTTGTTGTGGTGGCATAAATTTTTATCTATATTTCAGGGCAAATCTCTGATTGATTATGGAGAATGGTCGCTAGTAGATTCGGTTTTTAGTTGTGATAGTTGTTTAACAGGATGTGGTGGAATTTGTGGTAATAGTTTTTTCCACAGTGTTTTTCCTGGTTTTATTTTAAATCAGAATTTGAGCATTACATGTTTGGAGATGTTAACTGTCATTGTTTCTCTTAAATTATGGTGTGCTGTTTTGAGAAAGAAAAAAGTGGTTATTTATTGTGATAATCAAGCAGTTTGTATTGTTATCAATACGGGCAAAACTCGGAGTTTATTTTTACAAAAGTGCTTACGGGAGCTATGTTTTATTACCTCAGTTAATGAGATTCAAATCAAAGCAATTCATCTCAGTTCAGATGAGAATCGTATTGCAGATTGTTTGTCCAGATGGGATTCAGATCCTATGTATATTAATGCATTTTATGAACAAGTTTCTCATGTTTCTTTGTTGGAGAATGTTGCTGTTCCTGAAGATATTTTTAGATTTCTTCATGATTGGTAATTGTAATTTGTTTCAGAGAAACAGTTTGTGATTCTTAAACAGGACCTCAGGAAGTCACATAAATCAGCTTTTGCTGATGGTACCAACAAGAATTTGCATATACAGTGGGAAAGTTTCATCTTATTTTGTTTATATTTTGGACTTTGTTATTTACCTGCTTCTACATCAACTTTACAATTATATGCTCAATTTCTTAGTAGATCTTTTAAATCAGTGCAAAGTATTAAGAATTACATTAGTGGAGTGAAGACATTGCATATGTGTTTAGGTTATAACATTGATCTTATTAATACTTATTTACTTAATTTATCCCTTAGAGGTATTGCTAGGTTAAATCCTTGGGCTGTTCAACGTGCAGAGCCTATTACTTTAGATATTTTATTGGGGATTTTTGAAAAGTTGGATTTTTCTGTTAAAGACAATGTTGTTTATTGGTGTTTATTTCTTTTTGCTTTTTTTCTTTGTGCAAGAAAATCGAATTTG